TACCTACCTACCTACCTACCTATCTATCTAAGGAGTAGTAGGAATGGCATGGGTTAAGTGTTGGACTGCTAACTGCAAGCAGTTCGAACTTACCAGCTGCTCCCTGGGGGAAAGATGAGGCAGTCTGCTCCTGTAAAGATTCACAGTCTCAGAAGCGCTATGGAACAGTTCTCCTCTGTCTCACAGGGACACTATGAGTTGGAATGGACTCAGTGACAGTGGGTTTGGGGTTTTTGTTTGGTTGGTTACTATCTATTTATCTGTCTATCTGTCTGTATGTCTTTCGGTCTGTCTATATGGTGCAATTGGTGACCACTTCACTAATTAATTGTTTAGCTCAGCTGATACCCAAAAAGGTTCGAGGTTTGTCTACCCAGAGGCACCTCCAAAGAAAGGGTTGGTGACCTGCTTTTGAAATAGCCACTGAAAGCCCCATGGAGCACAGTTCTGCTCTGACACATGAGGTCACCATGACCTGGGCTTGACTTGACAGCAGTTAGACTGGACTGGATCATTTATGTGTGTGTATGTGTGTGGTGTGGAGCTGTAGGTTAATACGCCAGACTGCAAAGCCGTTTGAACTACAAGGTTGGCAGTTCAAGTTCACCAGTCACTCCTCGGAAACCCTATACAGGATCACTATGGGTTGGAACTGACTCGACGGCACTTAAAAACAACATGTATATGTAGTCACAGACATATGTGAGGGGGCTTCAAAAGTTTGTGAAAAAATTTCACTATATTTTAATACCATTTTCCATGAAGTTTTTGAAGCCTTCCTTATATACAGAACCCTGGTAGGGTAGTGGGTTAAGTGTTGGATGGCTAATGGAAAGGTTGGTGGTTCTACCCCATCAGCTGCTCTGTGGAAGAAAGATGAGACAGTCTGTCCCTGTAAATACTTACAATCTCAGAAACCCTATGGAGCAGGCCTACTGTGTCCCACAAGGTCACGATGAGTTGGAATTGATTTGGTAGCAGTAGCTTTGGATTGGGATACACAAACATATGTGTATATATGAAGTGAGCCTATCTAGGGCTGCCCGACACAATTTACCTTCACCTCTGGAAAGAGGGTACAGAGAACACACAGAACAGAAACTGTGCTGAGAATCCAGAACATCCTTGCCCTGGAAGCAAAGGAGGACCGTGTTGCTCTGCTGAGATGTTGGTGGTGAAAACTCAGTAACTGGGGTGGGTCTGGGGCAGCAGTAGGAAGCCACAGGCTAAAGACCCTAGGAAAGTTCTCTGCCCTCTACTTCGATTCAGTTTTGGGAGAAGTCGGACTTGGTGGTTTCGGAGCTTAACTTCTTTGGTTAGGTTCTGCAGCCAGCTTCACTGTGCAGCCCCATCCCCTTACTCTCTATGGTCACTACACTCCAACCCTTAAGTTTGGGCCTCATTCTCATTCCTCTGAGTAAGTTCTTATCTTTCACACTTAATCTCTTTCTTAGTCTAAAAACGCCTCTCTAACTGTTCCTCCAGGGTTCACTTTTTGTCACATCCACTTTTTGCTGATCTTTGCCTCAGGGTGAAAAGCATTCCCAGGAGGAGCACAGGGGACAAGTGCAGAGAGAGTGAGCCTTGACTAATCATGCTGACGGATGGACATTTCCTTCCTCTAACCACTACCATTAGATTTTTCTGAAAAATGGAGTAAATTGTTCCAGCGGTTTTAATTGCTTTGTGTTGGATTCATTTGCAGATTGATGAAATCAACGTCTATGGGAATACTGCCCTTCACATTGCCTGCTACAATGGCCAGGATGCTGTAGTGAATGAGCTGATTGACTACGGTGCTAATGTGAACCAGCCAAACAACAACGGGTTCACCCCCTTGCATTTTGCTGCTGCCTCCACTCATGGTGCTTTGTGTCTTGAGCTGCTTGTCAACAACGGAGCGGATGTTAACATTCAGGTACCATCCTGACTCTTAGTCTGTCTGTGTTAAATACCTTTGCATAAGCCTCAGTTTGTACGAGACCAGCTGCTGGAAATGAGAACCTGTATAATGAATTGTAACCCCAAAGACTTTGACTCACACAGCCTTATCCTGCATCAGGAAACTTAGCTGCTGGAGTGCAGCTCCTGTTTCTGCCTGCAGCCATGGTAGTACCAGCCGGGAGGCACTGAGACTCCAGCCACGGGCTCTTGGTAGCTTAGTTAATGTCCCAGGGCAATCACGAGTCTCTGGGATGTTTATTAGGTTCAGGGTCTAATATTGAAGTGAATGTTGGGCGAATAGTGCAAAGCTGCTGAGAATTCAATGGGAGGCCTAAATTATTGCTACCAAGGGCACGTGATTAGATTTTAAGCTGTTCACACACATACACACACCACATACATACGTATGTTGTTGGTATGTGCAACCTTGTATAAGGTTCTCGAGGAGCAGCTGGTGGATTTGAACCACCTACCTTGTGGTTACAGTCCAGTGCTAATCCTATGATGCTACAACAGAACTCCACATATGTCTGTAAAATCCATAATTTTATACAAAGGGGCTTCAAAAAGTTCGTGGAAGAATTGTGTTATCTTGTAACGTCTTAATTTCATTTTTCCATGAGTTTTTTGAAGCCCTTCTTGTTCATATATTGTTTTTGTTGTTAAGTGCTGTCAAGCCAGTTCTGACTCATAGTGTATAGGATTTCCAAGGAGCAACTGGTGGGTTTAAATCATCAACCTTGTGGTTAGTAGTCCAGTGCTGATCCTACAGTGCCACACCAGGTATAGATATCTATATAGATATATTCTGTGGGAGAAACATGAGGCTTTCTGCTCCCGTATAGATTTACAGCCTCAGAAACCCTGTACTGGGTTGCTATGAGTGAGAACCGATTCCATGGCACATAACTGGTAGCATAGTGGTTACAAATTGGGCTGCTAACCTCAAAACTACCAACTGTTCCGTGGGAGAAAGATGGGGCTTTCTATTCCCGTAAATCTCGGAAATCCTGTACAGGGTCGCTATGAGTCAGAACTGACTCTATGGTACTTAACAACACCAAAACAACATAAATATATATATGTGTGTGTGTGTGTATTTTTTGTATTTGAAATAATGAGCATGTGTTCCTTTTCTACGCAGAAAACAAATAGGCTATTTTCACTTTGGAAAAAATTAAATTAGATGAGACTAGAGAAGGAGCTGACTAGAGGATCGTTGTTGTGTGCTGTAGAGTCAATTCTGATTCCTAGTGAGCTTATAGGACAAAGTCAAATAGCCCATGGGGCTTCCTAGGCTGTGTCTTGGTGTGACACTCTAGGACAAGCACTGGACTGCTAACCGCAAGATTGGCAGTTCAAACCTTTATAGGGTTGCTATGAGTCAGAATCAACTCAATGGCACTTAACAACAATAATCTTTAAGATAGCAGATCATCAAATCTTTTTTCCCACAGAGCCATTTGGTAGGTTTCAACCGCCACTGAACTTCTGGTTAACAAGTGAACCTTAATCATTACATCACCATCACCAGGGTTCCTTAAGGAGACGATAAAATAAACAAATAAAACTGATCAAGATAAAGGTGACGAAGACAGGAGAGTGGGGAATAGTCAATAGAAGGGAGAGAATTTGCAGGAAGAAAAGTTGCAGGTCTGAGTTGGGCAAGAGACAGAAGAGCTGATGAGTGTAAGAGTCTCAGAGTCTAAGAAGAGTTGTACAGCGTAGTGGTTAAACATCAGCTGTGGGCTAGCTTGCCTAAATTCCAATCCTAGTCTAGACTTTTAGTAACTATGTAATCATAAATGCATAGTTACTAAATACCTCTCTGCAAGTCTCAGTTTGTTATTTAAAATTAGAGAAGTAATAGTATCTTTACGGAACTGTTGTGAAGAATGAATGAGTTATCACACATACATAATTTAGAATAGTAAGCACTTGATAAATGAGCATTTTGATTAGGAGGAATGTCAGGAGAAGAGATGGCTTAGGAAAGAAAACTGGTAAGTTTCATTTTTGAAAAGTTGATTTTGAGCGTTTGGTGTAGACTATCTGGGAAAACCAGTATGGGAAATGTGATCCTATAGTTTAGGAGAGTGGTAGAGAATAGAAGGGAGAAAAATGAGGTTGCCTCTCTCACACAGAAGTGATAGTTGAAACCGGGAGAAAAGGATGAGATCACCCAATTAGAGAATATATAATAACATGGGTAGAGTAGGGCACTAAAGACTCCTATATACACAAGAAGAGGGGGAAGGAGGAAAAGCCAGAGAATGAGATGAAAGAACAGTCTGAGAAGCTTGGGAAGCTATGGGAGGGCAGTGTCCCATAAAGGTAGAAATGAAGAAATAAAACAAATGATGCGAACTTCAGAGTCCCCATCTTGTAAATGGGTCCTCTCCAACCCCCTAAGAAATGGTAAGATGAAAATCTTTGGGGCTATGGAGGAGACCAAGTAACTATGGTCCAAGGTAGGGAACATCATGTGGGTTGAAGAGGATGACAATGATGGGTAGGAGGCAAACAGGTGGCCAAACAGCTAATGTCCCCAAGACTTGTCGACCCCTGTTTTGCCATCCTGGTATCTGATAGAAGCCTCTGAATCCTTCCAAGGAAGGAAAATCATTGAAGTTAAAACAAAACAAAGCAAAACCTCTCTTTACTAGCTACCACTTAACTAATGCACTGGGCCATCTGAAGCTCTGAAAAACATATTGACTGATGATTTCAGTGCACCTGATAACGCAAGGCTAAAAGGCCACTTTGGGGCACACCTGTCTACTTCTTCCAGTACTGACTATTGGTCAGTTCAGATTAGATGAGGAGCTTCAATATATGTGGAACATTGGTTTAAGGCAGACTTCTATTCTCTCCAACTAAATGAACCTAAGAAAGCAAAGTTACTTAATATTCACTTTTTCCCTCGTTGGATGACTAATCAGGAATAGACTGTAAGAAATGTCATTTAAATTCTGAGACTCAGGTTTATGTATTATCTAATCTATAAAAGTGAGATTTTGAATTAGACCTAGACTTCTTCCCCAGTCTACCTTCATCCTCCGCTTTCCAAATCTCTTTGAATTTTCCTTAATTATTCTGGCTAACACTGACCATTTCACATTTCTGCAGAGCCACCCTGCCTGACTCTGGAGGTAGCTTTCCAACTGAAGTTGTTATCTCCCTGTACCACATTGCTCTTTGGATTTTGAAAGTGTTTACAGATTGCAAGACGATTTCTATTTGTTTAGATTTTCCAAAGTTAGAGGAAAATAGCATATTGAAATGTAGCCAAAATCCACTCACATGTTTTCCTCTGTTCTCACAAAACACTAAAAGTGAAGCTTCATGAGCCTCCTCAATGACACAAGTTGTAGTTGTTGTTAGGTGCCATCTAGTCGGCTTTGAATCATAGTGACCCTATTACATACAACAGAACAAAACACTGCTGCGTCCTCACAATCGTTGTTATGCTTGGGCCCATTGCTGCTGTCACTGTGTCAGTCCATCTCCTTGTGGGTGTGTGTCATGGATACAGTTTACAGTCACTTATTTTCCTTAGGTTGACCATGGCCCTACCTTTAACTTTGAAATAGTAGCTCAAGTATGTTAAAAATAATCAACACAAAACCATGTATAAAATGAAAGATTTCTTTATACTTTGAAAATAGGAAGAACATGAGAAATTATAAAATAATCTTTCATGTCTATAACAGACCTCATTGTAGACTCTTTTGGTAAACATTTTAAGTAAGTGATACATTAGGCACTGAAGACACAGCCATGATGGACACATCTGAGAATATTGGACTCAGAAATGACTATTTCCAAACTGCCTAAATTATGGCTACTAACATTAGTCCCTGACTTGGTCTCAGTTCTCTCCTATCTATAAGACCTTAGATCATTTAACCCTAAGTAACTAGAGCTGAAGCCAGTGACATCTCTGCTGAAGTGGACCAGCTTTCTTCTTTATACGTACCAGGATCAAATTATATAATGAGTCATATTGTTGAAACTCAAGGTGAAACTGAAATAGGCAAGAGTGACAGTGATGGGGATATGGCCCTTGAAATTTTGAGGAGGAAGTGCCAAAATCAGAGAAATGAACATCTGAGGCATCCGCATACTTTCACTGGCTTTGGTTGTTGTTGTTAGGTGCCATCAAGTCAGTCCAGTTCATAGCAACCTTATGTACAACAAAACGAAACACTGCCCGGTCCTGCACCAACCTCACAATCGTTGTTATGCTAGAGCTCATTGTTGCTGTTGATGTGCCAGTCCATCTAGTTGAAGGGGGTG